GATAATACTCTACAGTGAGGTATTCTTTTATTCATCCAACCAACAAATTAAGCTCCTAATATGTGCAGGGCAGTGGAAATGAGATTAATAAATGAATGAAAAATTTCCCTGCTCTCTTGGAGCTTACAAGAGAACTGGTGGGGGAGAGAGTAAATAAGCACATAAATATTTAAATTTATCATTGAATAATTCTAGAAGGAGAAATACAAAAAGACCTAGAGAGTTTCTCTAAATAAGAGACATTTAAGCTTATATTTGAAAAATGTATAGGAATTGGTATAGGAATGCATAGGAATAGGCTAGTTCAAAGCTCTGAGAAAGCAAGTCAGTATAGTCAAACTAGTAATCTGGGAGCAAAGGGGAAGGTGGCAAAGATCCTATAGAACTTTTCTAAGAGTAAAAAGTTATTACCCTGTCTATATTGTGTATCACTGGTTTCCTAGCTTTTGGAATATTGTCTGGAACTCATGAAATAATGGTTGAACAAATGAAACAGGAAGATATGATCACAAGTGTTTTCCAAGTAGATCACTCTGGTTGATGTGTAAAAAATAGATTGGATGGTAGGGGGTAAGGCAAGATGGGAAATAAGAGAGAGCAATTAAAAAGGTATTCAAGTAATATAGGCACTAGAAAATGATAACTTGGATCTGAGGAGCAATAGTGGAGATGGAAATGTATACACATATGCCATAAGCTTAAGAAGTAGACTTGACTGTTCTTGGACAGCAATTGATTTGATGCTGAAGAATGAAGAAGAGAGTGGTATCAAGTATAACTCTCTAAGTGTCTGTTTTTCTGGGTGGATAAATGACAGTGACAGTATCTCAGAAAACAAATTCTGAAAGAGGAACAGTTTTGGGAGGAGAAAAGCATAAGCTCAGTTTTGGATATGTTAAGTTTGAGGCATCGTTTGTCATACAAAAGGAAGGTTGTCAGGTCTGGAGCACAGAAAAGAGGCCTGAATTGGAGATGTCAATTTGAAATTTATCAGCTTATATGTGGTAACCAAATCCTACTTAATGAAATCACCTACATTGAGACTGTGAAGTGAAAAGAGAAAAAGGCCTAAGGACCAAGCTTTGAGGAACTTATACAGAGAAGAATTCCTAAAAGAGACTCAGCAGGAACTTTTGATAAGATAAGAGGAAAACCAGAAGAATGTAATATCACAGGAAAAATACCTTTGAGGCTTGGCCCAGTACAATTCTTACCCATAGCAAACATCAGAAATGTCAGATTAGATGTATACAATATGAGAACCAGCAAGGGATGACAGAAATACTTCAATCTAGCCTCTTCAGATATAAAGAGAAATACCTACCCAGAGAGGCAAGGCTAACAAGCGACCTGTGGCGCAGCCAGGACTTCCAAGCCAGAAACACAGTTTTCCTATTTTAAAATAATTTGGAAATTTGTCATCCTCCATTTGAATATTCATAATTATCATAAAGAGTATTCCTCAGAGAAAACAGATAAAGTAAGCTATTACCATTTATAGGAAATTGAGAGATTAGAAAGTTGGAAAGATCTTGAGATACCCAAGGAAGTTGAGGAGCACAGATTATAATTTTTAGCCTGTTACCCATATTCTCTTTGAGTGTTTATGTGCCTTTTTTCCATCTTCAGCCACCCTATACTCCTCATTTTTACCTCACCAATTTCACTCGTATGTGGTTCAGTGACTCTTCTCTCCTTATTTTTCTGATAAGGGATCAGAAATCATGAAAATTAAAAACATCTCATTTCTGTATTTGATACTTGCCTCTCAAAGTTATTTTAGTCAATGCAATGGCTGTCTGCCTCCCAGAGGGACAAATCTGAGCTCTATTTCTAAAAATACGAAGGTAAATTATTTTATTAACCCCATCACTTGCCTTTATATTTAAGAGTCAGGATAAGTCAGAAGTGTGGGATGTTGATTTTAGGGTTGAGTAGATTGGGAGTGCTGTGAGCCCATTAAATTCTCAAGCCCAAAATTATCTGTCTTATTTTAATGTCTAAAATTCCCGCATTAGTGATTCCTGTCCTCTTTAAAACTCCTCTTAAATGTCAATAATACTTGAAAGGAGTGAAAAACTAGCATAATTTTGTGAATGGATTTATTTTATTTCTTTTGAAGCATATTGTGGGTAACCTGACATCACACTGAAACCGGGATGGGTTAAGAGTTGCTAAATGTGGGGGGAAAGACACAGAAAGAGGAGGAAGGAAACAATAAAAATTACTGTTTACTTTAGAATTTTGTCCTGGGCCCTTGCTTCTAAACATACCTTTGGAACTTAAATGTCCTTCTACCACAGATTGCTCTCCACATTTGATAGCTTTGTATTGAGGTCAAGAAGTAGGCATGTTCTTACAGAGTCTTCTCTTGGGAGACCAAATGTCTGTACAACATACCCAGGAATTTGTGTAACCATAAAAAATAGTTTTCTCCTGTACTATAAACATACTTCTAGGAAGAATTTGGCATTCAAACTTCAAAATAAAATAGAAATGACTATAAAAAATACTTTATGGCAAATAAAAGGTTATTCTATCAACTAAGTGCTCCTCATCTCTGATTTAAAGACACGGATTTTGAGACTCTGCCTGGAAGGGGCCATGTGAAGACACAAAATGATATTTAAACTATTTAAATCAGAAATCAGATCATACCATTTATAAAACCCACCAGTGGCTTTTCTTTGCACTTTGAGTAATTTTATCTAGCTGCTTGCCATAGCCTATGAGGCTCACTTATGATTTCTGTTCTTCCTCTATGTTTACAATCTCATCTACCATTCTGCTTTTTGCTTCATTCACACTGGCTTTCTTTAATGTCCTTCAACACACTAGGGTAGTTCTTGTCTTAAGGCTGTTACATCTTCTCCTGTGCCTGGACTGTTCTTC